CGCCACCTTTCTATTATCTTCTCAATTCCCCCCACTGCTCCCACCACCGTCCTTGCCCGCCTGGGCAGGCGCAGCCTGCGCTGGAGCGGCAGAGCGACCACGTCCTCGCGGGCGCAGGCACTGGCACTGCGCTCGAGTACGCGGACATGGGCCCTGAAAGAACTTGTTGCATGGAACCGACTTCTGAAGGCGACCGTCTTTCGAGATTATGCCCGCCCTCGCCAGCACTTTCGCCGCCCCCCCCCCGCCGCCCGCGCGAAGGCCGCGGGCATTCAACGTCATCCGCTCCTTTTCGCGGTTGATATGTCCTCGCTTTTGCGCATGAAATCACTGACCCTCGATGGCAAGCGCGTTGCCCTTCCAGCGCCATGCTCATCGTTGCAAAGACCACCGATCACAAGAGCACATTGCATGCATGGGGCATTTTTTGATTTGGCGGAGGCGGAAGGAGTCATTCAGTTTCTCCATCTCGTTGAATGTCCTCGCCCACTCATCGCAGAAGTAGAATAGGACGCCATCCGCTTCCCTGCCCGCACCACGGATCTGAATCTCCATAAGGTCCGCGCACGCGCACACCTATCCGCGGACCTGGCGGGCGGCCAAATGAACGGCAATGATGCGCAAAATCCAACGGCCTTTCATCATACTTCTGGCTCTGGCGGCTCGCGAGGAGATGTCCTTTCTTACCCACTCGCAAGATGATGGAGCTGAGACGAGGATTCCCTGCCCCCAACTATCTCGTTGACTTTTGCCATAAGGCCGGCCGCGATCACCAAGTCAAGGCGGGCGAAATGACCGAAGTCTCTCAGTGTTCGCTTCCGTTATGTAAATCGAATGCGTCCGCTACACAACTGACAGCCCCCTCGCAGTCCGGCGATGCCGACGCTACGGCCCTGACCACATTGCGCTGCCGAAACCTGCATCTAGCGCCACTCTAGCGCTGAGCGGCGGCAGGGACAACGCCCATCAACGCGATGGGGGCGCCACCGCCGCCTCCTGGCGGGTCGCCATCAAGCGGCCCTCCGCCGCGCCGGCGCCGACGCCCCGGGCCGCCGCCCCCCCCCCCCCTCGGGCGCCGGGCAACCTTCGTCTTCAGGGAAAGAACCCCCATCGCCGCATCATCATCACCATCATCTCCGGCGTCATCTGGACGGCCTGAGCCTGGATGCTTTGGCACTGGTGCCTTTCTCGGGGGGTCGCTTCCTCCGCTTATCCCCCAGCCTGGAGACGCGCGGCAAACCCCGGCGCTGGCGGCGCGTGCCCGGGGAAAAGAAGTTCCAGCATTGGCTCGGACTGGCTCCAAGTTGGGCTCCAAGTCCTTCTTTCCCCGGACATCGCGGTCAGTCTTTGTCTCTCTGTCTTCCTCTCCCTCTCCCTCTCCCTCTCCCTCTCCCTCTCTCTCTCTCTCTCTCTCTCTCTCTCTTTCTCTCTCTCTCTCTCTCTCTCTCTCTCTCTCTCTCTCTCTCTCTCTCTCTCTCTCTCTCTTCTCTCTCTCTCTCTCTCTCTCTCCTCTCTCTCTCGCTCTCTCTCTCTCTCTTCTCTCTCCTCTCTCTCTCTCTATATATATATGTCTCCTCTCTCTCTCCTCTTTCTCTCTCTCCTCTCTCCTTCTCTCTCCTCTTCTCTCCTCTCTCTCTCGCTCTCGTCTTCTCTCTATGTGTTTCTCTCCTCTCTCTCTCTCTCTCTCTCTCTCTCTCTCTCTCTCTCTTCTCTCTCTCTCTCTCTCTCTCCCTCTCTTTTTTTTTCTCTCTCTCTCTCTCTCTCTCTCTCTCTCTCTCTCTCTCTCTCTCTCTCTCTCTCTCTCTCTCTCTCTCTCTCTCTCTCTCTCTCTCTCTCTCTCTCTCTCTCTCCTCTATATATGTGTATATATATATATGTCCTGGGTCTGTCGCGCCCAAGCAACGGCCGCTTCGGTTCGTTTCTCACGCATCTCTTGGATCTTCACCTTCCACCCAGCGCGCACCCTGGCGCGGCCCTCTTCCCGCTGCGAAGTCCGCTCGGGCATATCCTCGATTCTGTCATTTGCAGCTCTCGCGGCGCCTTCAAGCTCAAGCAGCCCCCCCCCTTCGACCCCGCGCCCTCCGCCCAGCGGTCGCCAACTCCCGCGGCGCGGCCGCGGGCAGGCAAGGGTCGAGGCAAGCGGTCACGAGAGCCGGCCCTCGGCATAAACGCAACCGCATTATGTTCCTCGAGCTTCTACCTCGCACGACGCTCCTCGCGCTCATTTTCCCATGAGGTATTTCCTCAGCTGCGCTGCCTCCTGCAGTCGCGCCCCCACCACGGCCGCGCAAATTCATCTCACCGCCCGGCACAAAACGCTCGTCACAAACGCCCCCAATGCACGAGGTGCAGTCGCGAGAAGCCACCTTAGAACATAAGAAACACCATTAGGCCCCCGCGCAGGGGCTGCGATTTGCGCCCCTCTGCAAAGCGGGCCCCCTACACCACTGGCGGAGCTGCCCCGCCCCCGATGTCGCTACAGAGGACACTCCGATCGGGCTCCACTGCATCTGGTGCTCGCTCAGTTTGCGACGCAGCTTGCCCCGCTCAGCCCCCCGTACTTCAACGCCAGGACGGCCCCGACTTGCCGCGACTTTCTCTAGGCGCGTTTCGGTCAGTGGCACATTTTCCCGAGCGCGTTGCACTTCGGCCGCGGAACAAGCATGGCCCCCACTTGCGGCGACACGATCCGCTTCGGCCTGCTCCACGGCGGCGGCTGCCTCCGCGGCTGACCACGCGCTCCGATCCTCCGTCGCTCGCAGCTTCTGGGCCGCTTGCGACGCAGTCGCACGCCGAGCTTCGCCGGCCCCCTGGACAGCGCGCCTCGCTTCTTCAGCAAGGTGGTTGCCCAGGGGCTGCGCGCGGCGCTCGGAAGCAACTGTTATCTCCGGCCTGTTGGCGAGCTCCCTCGTCTCCGCCGTCGCTGCGGAAGCCTGCTCGGCCGCCACCGCCTGCTGGCACTCCCCCTGGAACCGCGCGGCGCTCGCCATTGCCTCCCGGTCTCGCCCCACTTGAAAAATGGCGACTGCTCATCGCTGCAACTGCGGATGTCTCAATTGCCCGCGCATCTCTCGACCCGGCCCGCGCAGCCAGGCGCATTGGGGCCAGCGAAATCCGGACATAAGAAGATCAAACTGCAGAGGCTGCAGGTATCCCAGCAGTCGTAGCAGACTATAATCTTGCACTGTTCCAACGAACCAGGACATCGGGATTCAGGCACCGCGGCGCATCTCGGTCCGCAGTTGGCACGCATGGCACCGATGCGCATGCTCAATGCACTGGGCCGACCCGATAGGTTGGACAAGTCAGGCGCCTCCGAACGCGGCCTCGGGGCCCTGGGCCAGCCCCTCTCGGCGCCCCTCTTGCGAGGAGAGCGGACCCGTGGGTCTGGCGTCTCAGACATCGAGGTCGACGGTCGATGACTCGCCCGGGAAGGACGCCGCGGGGACCCGGGAGCATAGCTCCGGGGCCCCCCCCGGAGCGGGCACAGGGCCGCGCTCGGGGACGCCGTCGGATCTGCTCCGCACACCGAACGGCGATGCCACGGAAGGACTAAACGGCCCCCGTCTTTGCTTGCTCGCTGCCTTGACAAGGCCGCCCACGGGCTCAACTTCCACGATCTCCTCCAAGTCCCGCCCCGCTGAATCATCGGATGGAATCGCGGTTTCGTCGCCATATGCGAAGGGCACCTGCGCAGGAGGTCGATAGTCGCCCAACGGGACCGGGGACCCAATGCCATAGGCCTCGCCCCCACCCTTCACGTGGCCGATGAGCTCTAATACGGTAGTCGACGGGTCTCGGGGTCGATCTGCGAGAGAAGTTCTCCCACGAGGAGATCGACCCCACGCCGCGCTCACCATCCGAAAGGTCGATATGGATGTCGGGTTGTTCAGCGATCGGAACAGGATCTTGTTCACCACCCACGTGCCAGTTGAGCTCCCTGTCGCCCTCGACCTCTAGAGGTGTCCGGGCGAGGCTCGTCATATCGTTGACTCGGAGTGAAGACGTTGACTCGGTTATCCGACATAGTCGCCTGAATCTGCTCCAGGAACGCTTACTTGTCAAACCGTGGCGTCATTTTTTTCGGTCGTGCATCACCCATCAAAGGGTGGACCATAATTTCCTGATCTGACAGTACCATTTTCATCGATCTTAGCTCAATTGATAGGCGGCATGTGTTATGTTCTTTTTGTTGTTACAGTATCTTGCTCAAATTGGGGTGGTGAATTGGAGGCGTACTTCTTGTTGCCATGGCGGGAAGTGTGTTGATGTGCCGTTAAGCTGATACCACAATAGGATAGTGGAGCGAAGAAAGCCAGCCGGCCGGCGGACGCGCGGGCGGGCGGGCGAATCCCTCTTTCGCCAAATTGCAGCCAAGACAACTACAGGTGTGTAGTTGCTACTGTCGTTGAAGCACGCAGGGGGGTAACTAAATCAACTAACGCCGTCGCCCACCCCCCAGGGTTTTTGGGTATAATGTACAAACTGTTCGGGCGGATTAAAAGAAGAGAAAGAAGAAGCGCCATGAAACGTGCGGAAACATCATGGCCCTGACCACGATACCGGGACATCCGTTATCGTGCGCTACTCAACGCGAGCGATCTCCTGAGCCCTGGACCTTCTGCCCAGGGCCGGCACGTCATCCCGAGCCGTTCTCTGACGGCCCCCGGGCCCAGCGAGGGCCCCCAGAGGCCGAGAACTGCAAAAAACCTCCGCCTCGAGTTCCCCGATACGTTGGAGGTCTGGCTATACCCCCCCAATCATTAACCACCTTCCTAATCATCACTTGAATCTTCGACGCCTGGCGGTTTTCGCGCCACAGCTCCAGCCTCCGGCGGCCAGCAAGGACGATCCAGGCATCCCCGACAAGCCCTCGACGAGGCGCAGCTGCCGGACGGCACCCCGAAGCTGGAAAACTGCCGAGAACCGACGACTACGCCCGAAGACCTCGAACCCCTCTTGGACCCGCCCCCCCTTCCCCTCTTGCCCCCCCCCCTCGTGGCCGCCGCGCTGCGCCGCGCGGCCGCTTTGCGCAGCGCCCGCCGCCGCGCCGCCTTGCCGCGGCAGAGGCCGCGGGGCGTGGGCTGCTGGCTGGAGACGAGGCAGCGGCATCAGAGGAGGCGTGGGGAGAGGCAGCTCCCTGGGGCCCAACAGTCGGGGCGTTGACCCAAGGAACCCCAAATAAGGAACGAGGCCCGTATGTTCCATAAGTTGAACTTCGATCTCCGATCGAAGACATGAGGAAAACCTGAGGCAAGCTGTGAAACACTTACGGAACACGGAGCCCCTCCCCAACGAAAAGGGTTCCTTCTTCTTCATGGCCCCAGCTGTACCTTGCTTCTGGGGCGGCACAAGCATCAGGCCGGGCATGTCCCCCTACAGGCGGATTCTGGACGAAAAGTGAAACAAGAGTCAGAAGAATGTTCCAAAATGGACAAGAACTGTCCAAAAATCGTGCCTGGACTCTCTTTGTACTGTTCTTGAACACTCCTCCTGTGGAGGGACGCGCCCGACTTAACACAAGCACGAGAGAGGAACTGTCGGAGCACCCCTTTCGGAGTCCGTGGCACAGCGCTGGGCCCCGCCCTCCCTGGCGCGCGGAGCGCGCCAGAGGCGGCGCCAGAGGCGCCGTCGGGGGGCCTCCGCGCGAACATCCGAGAAATGATGCTTATGCCGTTGTGTCTGTCCTAAGGCATGTGCGTGTCCAGATATTTTTCCAAAGAGGAGGCAGGAGGCGAGGAGAGGCAACGAGGAGGAAGGAAAAACTGCCAGCTTCCCCACTGATGGGAGGGGGTCTCCACCGTGAAAGAACTGTCCAGATATGAAGGAGAAGAGACCGACGAAGAAGGAAAGACGGAGAAAAAAAACAAAAAGACGGGAGAAAAGAGCGCCATGTCATGCCCAGACGTGCCTAGAAAATCAGGACGGGAAATGTTTGGCCGCTTTGGGCCCATGAAACCCTTGCCAGGCCCCAAAACTCTTTTAAAAATTGTGGCGGGATGAAAAAGCAGTCCCGAAGAGAGGGCCAGGACTTCCAGGGACCGCGCATTGAAAAAACAGGACATCGCATGTCAGGGTGCACGCCTAGATGTTCGAAGGTCCGCGCGGCTTTCCCGACCCCACGACACCGGAGCCTACAGCGCAGCCCCTGGCGCGAAACCATCCAACAACAACAACAACAACAACTACAACAACAACAACAACAACAACAACAAAACCCGCGGGCCTCTGAAAATGAACGTCTGTGCCGCTGTCTGTTCTCCTGTGCTGATCGTCGCCCGAATCTGGATGAGGCTGGCGGTCGCTAGTCGCCTTCACCCTCGACTCTAAGTCCTCGGCGCTGGAGCTGCTGGTGCTCCGCTGCTGCTGGTGGTACATCTTCCAGTGGCGCTGCGACCTCGAGTTCGAGCTCGCCGTCCTGCTCCTCCTCCTCCTCCTCCTCCCCCCCCTCCTCCTCCTCCTCCTCCTCCTCCTCCTCCTCCTCCTCCTCCTCCTCCTCCTCCTCTTCCTCCTCCTCCTCCTCCTCCTCCTCCTCCTCCTCCTCCTCCTCCTCGAGCCCGAGCCCGCTGGCCTGCTGCCCGAGGCGGGGGGCCCCGCGCTGCTCTGTCCGCTGCCCGTGGAGGCGGCCTGCGTCGGCGGCGACCCGGAGCTGCACCCGGTCCGCGCGGAGTCGGCGCGCTTGGACGCCGGGCTGCTCGGCACGCTGCCCGCAGAGGATGCCTGCGGGGCAACGATAGGTTTAGGTCGGGCATGTCCCCCTACAGGGGGATTTTGGACGAAAACTTGAACATACCCCTCCCCAAAAAATACGCCAAAATGGCCACAAATGGTCAGAACACCGTCCCCAGCTGTTGGCTGGACTATTGTGGAGCACTCCCCCTGTGGAGGGACACGGGCCCGATGCCACGGCGGGCCCGAACACGAAACACGGAGCACTGCGCCCCCACGTCACGGGGGGCGGCCCCACGGGGGGCGGGGCGGTGGCGCCTCGGCGGCGACCAAAATCAGGTCGGGGACGAGTGGCTCGGGTCTGGCACATCCCCCTGCAGGCGGATTTCGGACGAGAGATAAAAGAGACGGACAAGGCGCTCAGAAGTACTGCTACATTAACAACAGCAACAGCAACAGCAACAGCAACAGCAACAACAACAACAACAACAACAACAACAACAACAACAACAACAACAACAACAACAACAACAACAGCAACATCAACAACAACAACAACAACAACAACAACAACAACAGCAACAACAACAGCAACAGCAACAGCAACAGCAACAGCAACAACAACCACCCACAACAACCACACAACAACAACAACAACAACAACAAGAACAACAACAACAATAGCAACAACAACAACAACAACTACTACTACAACTACTACAACAACAACAACAACAACAACAACAACAACAGCAGCAACAACAACAACAACAACAACAATCATTTAAGACTGGGGACACTCCGTTCTCACCAGTGCCAGGGTTTTCATAGGAGGCGGGCAATACCCCCACTTTGTGGGGGGGCCGGTTCAAGCTCTACCAAATTTCCAAACGACTCTTCGCCACCACCCACACCCAGCTTCCCGCCCTATGACGTTCGGACACTTCACTTCGTGGCCTGCGGACGACCTTGGCTACTACACTGGCGCATGGGTACAATGACTTGTTGTGGTAACATTTTGTGGAAGCTAGCTTAGTATACGACTTTTCCCCCTGCAATTGAAGATTTCGGCGTGCGCGCGCGAAGAAAAAACGAATGTGTCCCATATGGTATTATTTGACAGGGATGATGGCCCTGGCAGGCGCGCAACCTTTGTTGCAGAAGTTCGAAGCACGTGAAAAAGTTGCTCGCAAGAGCCCGTTTGACAGAAATGTTGAAAAAGTATTGGGTTTCCTAAGAAATCCGCAAGAGCGCGCGGAATGAATTTTTGAAACTTTTTTGTTGAAAAACCATTGGTTTTTTGATGTTTTTATGTTAAAATCGCTGCGAACACTAAGCTTTTGGAAGGATTTCGTCTTGCGCGCGCGAATGTCCACTTTACCTTATTTTTTGCAAGGGATTCTTGAAATTTGATTATATTAGAAAAAGAAATGTCATTTTATAGTGTTTTTTGCAAGGGAAAACGGATTACAACAAAACAACCGGATCTGGATCACATCGTTTTACCTGAGGCTTCCTCACGAAAATGATGAAAATGTGGCTGCGGCCTAGGCGCGGGGGGGGGGGCGTGCACCAGGGGGCCCAACAATAATTATTCTTTAGAATTAATAATGTTCAACAACAACAACAACAATAACAACAACAATAACAACAGCAACAACAACAACAAAACGAAAGGTCGTCACCGGACTAGTTCTACTATCGTTGATGATTACTCCTGTAGAGGGAGACGCCCGACTTAACGATAGGCCCAGACCCCCTCGGGCAATGAAGAAAATCACGACGGGAGGTGTTTCTCAATTTCCGGCCCCTGGCGGCCCTCGTTAGGCCTCGGGGCCGTCAAAAAACGACTCAGCATGAGAAACTGGTCACTTGGTCCCGGGGAATGGGTCGAGACCTCGGGAGGTCGACGTCATGAGAAAATCATGACGTCGGGGGTCTGGGATGGGAGGGGACTGGCATAGGGGGATGCATCGACCCAGAATCGGCGATACATCGCCGATGGATCGGCGATGAGCCCCCGCTGGTGAATCCGCACCTTCCTGGGCAGGTTGGGGCTGTCGGGCCCCCATCGGCGATCCATGGGCGATTCGGGGTCGATGCATCCCCCCCGATGCCTGTCCCTTCCTATCTTGGCGGCGGGCGAGAGGGGGAAGTGAGAAGGAG